GATGCATTAACCATTGCCTGGATCCAACCACATGTCACCTCCCGAGCTGCTTTCACCAGCCAAGAGGGGCATGGGTCCAGATGAGAAGTGGTGGTCCTTGCAGTCTGGAGGATCCTGTCCACTTCCTCAGGAACCACAGGATCAAACTGTTCCCCGATAACTAGGCAAGAATGATCCCCTGGTATCTCCCCAGACCCCGCACCACGCTCGGAGTCCAACTTGGAATGAATCCGTGCGATTTTATCCTGCAGGTGCTCTGCAAATTCCTCCGTGCGGCCCTGCAAATGAACCACCACATCCCCCTTACCAAGGAGGGACCTGGTGATCCCAAACAGGACTGCTGGGCGGCACTCTGCAGATATTGTCCAAGTTAACATGAAGGAATGGGGAAACCAAGAGCACAAGATTGTGAACATAAGGAAATTTGGAATATGATAGTGTACACTCTGGCATTACATTCATAAGCAAATGTCTACATCTTGAATGAAATTTCAGCAGAACCATTGAGTTCAAACATCTTTCCCTTCTAATGGCAGTCCAGCCTCCCAACAGAAAGTACAAATTGAGTATTACTAGAACAAACTCTATACTTGGCTACAACTGAGTACTGGAGGAAAAGATCAATACTGGCAAACAAATGATTGAATAAATGCACTTGAGCAATTATAGAGTTGAAATATTAAACTCTAACCCAAGTTAATGAAAAGGAAAATATGCTATACCCATGAGTTCCAGTACTCATAAGTAACACTTTCTCAGATACAGAGATTTCCAAGATCACTGAATGTATGTATGCATTTATTTATTTAACAAATTTCTATGGCTGCCCATTTCACAGAACATGACTCTGGGCAGTGTACAACCAACAATTAAAACAATGTCACAGCTGTTAAACTTTAAAAAAAATAATAAAAGCAAGATTGCGGGAGAAGAACATTCAACTAAACATAGTATAACAATCACACAGGCTGTATTGAATGCAATAACAACTCTGTATCTTGCATCTGCCTTTATGTTGATGTAACAAAACACTATTAAAATGTCAGGAGACCTAACTGATTTGAGCAAGTGCCCATCCTCATTTGCCACTGAGAGGAACTAGGCTGGTAACTGCATCTTTCAAATAAGGTATCCTGCCATTCCCACATGCTTTTGAGAGAGACTCATTTTTCACAGCACTGACATTTCTAAGCAAGATTTGACAAGAGAAATAATCCATCTGTGCCAAGGCTGGGAGATCAATTTCGAAGTAGGAAATGACCTCATTAGGAAGAAACACCTTGCTTCAATACTAGTCATGACAACTCCCGGCTTAACTGATTCTAAAAATACACAGCTCTGAATTCAACAAAGGCTTCCATGGGGTCAGTGTTTTTGTTTGTTTGTTTGTTTAAGTAGTTTGCTGTTATCCCTTTGAACATGCAGGTCACCACACTGACAGTGGTATTTCAATTCTGCATTATTATACAAGACAGTACAAGTGCATATCCAGGTTGCATGAGCATAGTTTCTCTATACTAAAATTGCCATCAACAAAAAGCAGGTACATTGAAATCTCTGTCAGGATAGTTACTAAGCCAGGATTATGTGGAAAGTCAGATTCCAGTTTCAGCAAGATTCTGTAGGTTCAGCAACACTGCCATGATCAAGTCAAACGGACAAGATCCATACAATTTGTAGCAAAACCTCTGAAAATAAAGGAGATAATTTGTTCTCATAGGGGATCAGAATCTTCGTCTTATCAGATGGCTATTTTAACAATGTATTGATATCTATATTAAACATATTGCTGTTATGCTGGCACTTGTTCTTCCCTACTTATTAAATGCAGAATAGCAGAAAGGCTCCTATTGGGCTGCATGAGATCATCTGTTTGGGCATGCCAATGGAGAGGTTCAGAGTAGATGACCTTTATGTCTCTTTCAGGCTGAGCCCTTTTAAGGACAGGTTCATACTTTTTTTTTTTTTTGGTAAGCATCACTCCTAGGCAAGTGTATGCTTGAAGAAATATAAACTGGATCATGTATACAGTCGCAATCTATGTCTGCAAGATATTTTCTGAAGCCACTTTGATGGCAGGAATAGATATTACCTTTATTTACAAGCTGCCAATGAATACATTACTCTTCTTCAGTGTGCTATTCTCCAGACACTTTGAACTTCAACTCTCATCAGTCTTATCTATTAAGGAACCCAGCCCCAACCCCTGGAGAACATCAGATTTGCTGTCACGTTGGTAAGAAATTGTTGATTTAGTTCTATTGCAGGTCAGCATAAATTATTTTACTGTAAGCTAGAATAACAGCCTTTTTGTTTCAAGGAAGGCTCTTAAGTGCATCTTTGATAGCTACAGTACAAAACAAGATGGAAAAGGAACATGCTCACCTAGATCAGGCCAGAAATCAGCCGAGGACATCTGAGTCTTGCCTGCTTCTTCTCAATGCAAGTTACCATTTGGCAAGCACCCATGGAAAGATGATGCACATACGATCTCTGACTACTATTCATCACTTATATGCTGATCGGCTGTACTCTGCCAACTGGGATTTGTTTGTGCACCAGTCTGAACACACACTGAAAAGCTGGCAGAAGGGCGGGGGACAAAAGAAGGCATTTCAAGGTTTGGCCATTGCCTTATCATAGCAAAGGGCTAGATGATACTTAGGGCCATGGGCAGGGAGAGGTTGCCAGGGAGAACAGCCAAATGCAATTACTTCTACACCAATATTATCAAAGTATCTCAAGAGAGCACCTGTTCATGCAACCCAAGAAGGTTCAGCTGCACTATCACACACGGCTCCCCAGCACTAGCTTCATTATGATTCCAATAGATGCTTTCAATCTAAGTGGATCTCCTCATTTCATACTAGAGCTAATTATTCTTACAGGAACTTTTCCTCAGTGCTCCTCCCACCTTTGGAGAACAACTGTCTGGCAGATTCATTGTAGTGCTGCAGAAAGCCTGAAGCCAAGAATGAGAGATTTGATCAAGCATCTAGCTTGATCATATTGTACAACTCCATTCTGGGTGATTTAGGTAATGCTGTGACCACTCTTTTGCGGTGCCTGGAGG